ACTTGGAAAGATGTAGTAGCAGTGATCATCACTAATCGTACATAAATCTGATGATAACTTAATTTTTTTCCTACAGCGATCATTAATCGATTAATATGTCTAATATTTAATAAAGCAATCGTCGAAATCTAGACGAATCTGAATAATTTCCAATCTAACGTGTCACGTAATTATAACGGTATTACCTATTTGTTTATAAATTAAATTAATATTTTTATATTATTAATCTATTAGTAAGATTAATTTACCAGAAAAGAAATTAAATTTAAAATTAAATTTAAACTAAAAATTATATTCTACATATATATACATATATATATATATATATATATATAGCAATATCATTTTTTAAGTATTATACAAATTATAATAATATAATAAATATATGTATAATAAATGTTATATTTTAAATATATTATTTTTAAATTTTAAAATTAATTTACTTTAACTAAAGATATGTCTCTTAAAAAATTACGGACCACCGTTATAAATAAAGGATTGATCTTCCGAAGTATTGATCGAAACGCCTCTTATAAAAATGATGATATGTGTGGGATTTATCAGAAACCGAAAGGTTATTGCTCAAAAACTTATAGCGATCAAAAAACGCTGCTATAATTATTACTTTTTTAACCATTTCGTGTCACTCATCTTAAAAAAAAGCATCTCTCTTTTATAGTTTTAATGAAATTTTATACGATAATATCTAATGTCTATATATATAAGTAGCATAATTTTATATTAATAATAATATAAATATATAATACATATATTTATAGATTTTATTAATTAATATAAAGTTAAAATAATAAATTTATTAATTATTGAGAAACTATTAACTAATACACATTAACAAAATACAAAATTTATTATTTATAATTTTACTTTTATTTTAAAAGACAAAAGCCTTATAAAATATATATTAAATTAAACACGAAAGAATTAACTCTCGAACGAGATTAAAAAAGCAGAGAATTTTACGTGGACTCTGCAGCTATCATCGTTTCAAGCTTAAACGTGGAAAAAACCCCAAAGGGGTGCAGTTTCCATTATCTCGCACAAAGCCGACTCGAAAACAACGTAAGTAGCTAGTATTAGATATCGTATGAGTTCGTCTAGTAGCACTTGAAACGATACTTAGGGCCCAAGATCGGCGACGAAGGCCCCTGTTCCCATAACGACGTCAGAAGAAGCCAGCAGTATTCTGCAATGGTATGATGATTCGTGACAGGAGATTGACTGTGATTTTCCCTCTCTCTTTCTCTCTTTTCGCTCTCTCTCCCTCTTTCTCTTTCTTCAGATTGAAACGATGAATCGCCCTAGCAGATGCAGCTGCTCTCGCCCTCTGATTCGGAACCATTCTGCATCGGCGATTGATTCTGCAAGTCGACAGCTGCTTTTATGTGTTAAGGGTGTTGCATTTTTAACTTGCATTCTTATCAAACATAGTAATTTTATCTCACTTTCTTTCATCGGTGTTTCTTAAGAAATTAATAAGATTAGATGTCTTAAAAAAAAAAAAGGGAATTAATTAAATAGTGTGTATTAATATATATAATATTTCGCACGATGCAGTTTGTCATATTCGTTGTGCCAATAGGAAAAAACATTTCGAAAAATAAAATATCAAAAAGACTTATGCACTGTTTGCAATTTGGCAATATTATTGGTCAGTAAATACATTATTGTACTTGATAAACATTTGATTGGTAGCCTTAAACTTAATCAATGAGTGTTGATGTCCTAATTTTTTAATACAATGAACTCTTATAAACCAAATAAAATACAATGCAATCCTTAATGATACTACAATGTAATAAATAAAATTTTTATACGATTTTTCTAGTATTATCTAGAAATTTCCTCGTATTTATCGATTGTAGCGATATTTGTCACTTCCAAATCAATCTCATAATTAATTTTTCTTTCATTTTTATCTAATCAATAATAATCATTCATAAGAATACAATATTCTGACTTAATTACGTATGCCATCGTGTTTTAATATTTGCTTATCAAATCTAATAAAAAGTGACAATCGAGAAGCGTATAAAAGTTCAAAAACGGGACGGAGAATATGTTCTAAAATTACTTATTAATTTGCTATAAATTTTTTAAAATAAAATCTTATAGAAAAATAATATTAGAGAATGCAGAATAAAATAAGAAATTAATGTATTGCAAAGTTAATAAAAATTCGATCAAACCTGAAATTCAGTTAAATTTAATGTCAAAATTAGTATTCTGAATTAATTATATTATTCATAAACGTTAACGATTACAAGCCCAATATAAAAAAATTAATATTTTCTTAGATCATTTCATGTGTAAATCCTACATATATAATTCTTAAAAATATTAAAATTATTATTTAATCTAAAATTTTTTTTTACAAATTTATAATATATAATTTTGGTAATGTTTTTTGACAAATTAATCTCTTATCTAAATCATTAAGAAAAAAACTCGCAAAGGAACAATAAGAAAATCGAACTAGGAGAAAAAAATGAAATTAAAAGAAATACTTGAAATAAATTATATTCTCATATATCAATAAAATAATGGCAAGACAACAGAAAACCAACATAAGGGAAAAATAAAGAAAATCCAGATGAAAAATGCACATCAATCAACATCAAAAATATTATGCAATATTTTTTTATATTATCGATAGTTCAAGATTTTTTACATAAATTAGAATATTAATAACAACGAATGTTCAACAAAGAAGACATTATAATATAAAGGTATCTTATTAAAAATTAAAAGCTTTTTTCATTCAAATTTATGAAATTATATATGCAATATACAAATAATGTTTTTCTCTTCTTTAATAAACTAATTTTTTTTTTAATTTACGTTGATCTAAAAAGAACATATAAATAATAGCTCAAAGAAAGAAAATTTGATTTAATAAAATTAATCTCTCTGTGAGTTTGTACAGAGTTATTCATTTAATCTATTCTTAAAGTATGCATTTGTAGAAAAAAGATATAGTTAGCTGCTAATTAATTAACCACTTATTCCGTAAAAAAATTTCTACCTCTTAATTTCTTTTTTTTTTCCTAATTTTTCAACGTTAATTAATTTCTACATATTAGAGTTAGATCGAATTAAGCTTTTACCTACTTATTTTTTCTCTCTAGTATCGGATAAAGCGAAGATTTATATGTATATTATTAGTCATTAAGACTTGACTATTTAAAATTTTTAATTTTATCACGAGGACTGCATTTACCTACTGCGTTTATTCTATAATTCATAATCAATAGCCCAAATCGATATAATTATTGCTAAATATGGTAAATGCAAATGCAGCTGTCTTACTTTCTCTATTTATTGCAAACGTATAAGACAATTAATATATCGTCTTTATTGACAATAAATTGTCTCTCTTTCTGTAAAATAAATAAAAACACAAAAAATGCGATTCACTTCTATCAGCCGTTTAATGTTAATTTGAGCAACTATCGATGTATGCTTAATTGTACGCGTAAAAAATACATACGATATTAAATAACCGATATTAACAAGCGAAATTAACTTTGATATTTTAATAAGAGTGACATTAACTCTTTCAGCTTTGATACATATTTAAACAGAGAAATAATTTTTTAAATTGTTTGTCTTTAACTTAAATATGTCGTCTTTTTTATAAGGTACATAATCAATACAGCATTGTTAAAAAATGCGAAACACTTTTATCAATTAATAAAGATTCTCGTATAAGAAGATAAATAAATAAATTTTAAAGCAATAAATTTTAAATTGTTATCTTAATTTAAATAATTATTTCTATTGATTAAAATGATTAAATGATAAGTTTTCCAAATCCAAGCAATAATAATAATAAAAAATAAAACCTTTTTTTAATCTGATTTAATTTGTAAGAATCCAAATTGGGTCTAATTTGAATTCTCGTGATGTTTTTAAAAGTATTCCGTAATTTCAATCAAGAACGTAATTACTGTATCAAAGTCAAAAGAATTAAATAACTTTTTCTATGATCGGCTAATATATATATAAACACGTCAGTGTGTAAAAGCAGTCTTAAGCTACTGTGTGAAACTATTTTTTCTTGTCTTAATAAAAATCGTTGCTGCTCATAGTGCACGGCTTTTTCACGGTTTTTCAAGATCACGAAAACCACAGACCGAATGCAATCAGTATCCTAAGTCATTAACTTATAAGTTAACTTAGCTCAGTGTTTTATCTACTAGTCAGGGCATCGAACAGAAACAGAATTATATATTATTCTCTTCGAATAGTCTTGAAGTAGAACAGATTAAAATAAATTAATTGTGTATTAATACTCTCTATTAATACATTATAAATAATAATCTTATATATGTATATAAATATATTTTTATTTATTACCTAAGAAAATTTCCAAGCAAATATTTCTCAATTTTAAAAATTATAATGTTTTCATATAAGTGAAATATAAGACAAGATAAAGGACATACATATAAGAGTCAATAAAATTAGTTTCGTATATAAAATCTTACGTTATTTAATACAAATACATAACAATAAAATTAAATTAATAGAAACATAAATTTATTAATTGTAAGATCTCATAACTTTTTCTGCACGCGCTTTTCTTCGAATTTTATACAATATTTGGTTCACGAATTCTACGATTGCGTTAAATAACTGCGCGTGCGCGTTTACAATTAAATTTATTATATCTAACGACAGCTCAATCTCGCAGCCGAGACATGTCATATAAGATCTTACAATTAATAAATCTATGTTTCTTATTAATTTAATTTTATTGTTATATATTTGTATTGTAAATGACTTAAAATTTGATATACAAAACTAATTTTATTGACTCTCATACGTCCTTTACCTTGTCTTATATTTTGTTGTTAAGAATCATTTATTTATATTGGTTTTCATAAGTAAACAATATTAATATATTACACATTAATATTATTAAATTATAATATATAATATGCGCGATAATATATATTATTACTTTACTAATTGCTTACTAAAAAAGAATAATCGAAAAACAATTTTCTTAGAAATCTCCTTGGAAAATTGGTTTGCATTCCTAAAAAAAGTCCCTAAACCGCTCCAGAACGATCTGAGACGGTTCAAACCCTATTTAGAAATTATTAAAACTTTGTGATTCGATTCGATTCGATACCCTGCTACCGTACAGGCCGACGACGACTTAGCATGCACAACTGCTCTCCGAGGCTTTCAGTTCGATTGGCGTGTCCTTGAGCACTACCTCTTGCACTACAAATTAAAAAACTTATTAAGGAAAACACAAAAGTATAACAAAACAAATGTAACGTCCGGCGGATTGTCAAATAAATCCAGCCTCGAAATCAAGAGCGAGAAATTAGAGTAGATGGTCCTTCAAAAAATATGATAAATGGCAAGAAATATGAAAACTATAATTGTTATAAAAAATCTAGTTAAAAAAAAAATTAAATAATTATATAAAACGCGGAGTTTCATATTTGATATCTTGAAAGAAAATAGTAAATAAATGAATTATTAAATAAAAACGAAACGAATAGCATATAAGAATCGATTTTTACTATTGTAATTTGAAAAATGGAAGAAAAAATGAGATAACAAAAGTCGATAGTAATATACAAAGTTGAAAGATAATAATAGTAGATAATAATAGGTAGAGTGGGAATTATGTATACGTAAAAAACAAGTCGTCGCGAACGTTCCTGCAAATATGCCATGCAAATTGCGTGCAGTAAGTATCTTACGCAAAGGATACTGTCTTCGGGAGGCTTATTTTCGGTGGAGTCCATACCCGGTAGAGCCGCCGCTACTCTTCTAAATAGCTAAAATAATTAATATTAACAATAATTTTACACACACATACGAACGGATCAAGAAAGTTTTTCTATGTTTCAAGCATACCATATAAAAGGCTGACACAGTTACCTGTTTAACATTGTAGCCAGCCTTAGCACTAGTTTCGATGAACATCACATTTAGTTCTTTCGCTTTTCGCTCGCCCTCTTCCGTTGAAACTTGCCTCTTATCACTCAAATCAGTTTTATTGCCCACTAACATAATTATCACATCACTTCCTCTTTCAGTCCGCACATCGTCTATCCACTTGGATGTTTGGTGAAACGAGTTGGCGTCTGACAAATATACAATTTTAATTTCATGATATATTTATCAGGGTATATCAATAATAGCGTATGCCAGCACAATTAAATTTACATTATTATTATTAACATAAACATTATTCATTAATATTAAATTTCGTTAATAAAATAATTTATTAAACTTTCGTTTACAAAGAGAATCAAAATTATCGATTTAATCTGTATTGTTCGTACAGATAATAAAAACGAAAATAGAGATTAAAATAGAATAAAATTAAGGAATTTGAAAATATATGCATCTTCAAGCAGGTTTTAAACTAAAAATTTATAAATAATTTTATGTAAAATATATCTTTTATATAAATAAATTTTAAATAAATTAAAAAATCTCTTTTTTTGAACAATATTTCAACATTAAATTCTGAAAGCTATATGGCATATAGCTTTTTAGGACATCGTATTCCTTATATATCGAATACTTACTAGTAATATCGTAAACAACGACCGCGACAGTAGAATCTCTGATGTAACTAGGTATCAAAGAACGGAACCGTTCTTGTCCCGCTGTATCCCATAGTTGTAGTCTCACGGTTCTGTCTTCAAGATACATAGTTTTGCTTAAGAAATCTATACCTATCGTAGCCTGTAACATACATAATAATAGATCAAAATATTAAAAGTTATACAATTAATTCTTATCATAATATCAAAAATGTAAACAAATCAAACTTACTCTTCAAAATTAAAAACAACAAGATTTAACGTAAATAAAAAAAATGTTAAAAAATAATTTTATTATATTTTACATACTTACTTTACATATTTAATTTATTATAATGTAATTACATGTATAATAATATGTATAATTTATTAGCACCCAGTCTTACTATTACGATATAAAAAATGCAATAATAGAAATAGAGAGAAAGAAAGACGAAAAGAGAAGCGAGTTATCGATGTTCCGTAAATTTTTTCGTCTCTTTCCATCTTTGTCGATTGAAAAAAGTCGATATCTTGATTTTCCACTGCCTATCCTGCTAGCATTAAATCTTTTCGTTCTAACTGCACGTTTTTACACTTTCTGTACTTATAATATAATTATATAATTATATAAATGCTTAAAATTATATATAAAATAACACAAAAAAAAACATGAACAAAAATGCAATTATATTATAATAAATGGAAAAAATAAATTGAACGTAAATGCAATTTCTTTGATTAAAGATCCAAGTAAAATAACAAATTTAAATAATTTGTCGAGTGGAGAGACAGATGGTAAACAAACTATATAAAACATGTAATCGATAAGTCGCCAAACAATAAGTATATGGCCATTCTCACAAATACGCCAATAAAAAAATGATTAAGTGAATTAATAAATGCATAAATATAAATTATAAATAAATATCAAAAATAATATTTACAAGATAGTATAAGAAAAGCAGAGTAAATAAAAATCGAACATTTTATTTTGCACACAATAATACATAAGTTTATTATAGTGTAAAAATTAATAATGATATATGTATATACAAGTTGGGGATTTAAGACAAAAATAAACTGACACGTTTATAAATTATATTTATGCAATAGAAACCTTTATTTGATAAATCATATTTAATGCGATGATGATAAAAGAATAAAAAGCAAAAAGGAAAAAAATGCAACATATTAAATGATCTCAAACTATAATTTGAAACAATTAGATTGATAAGTCATTATTATGTATTATAATAGTACATACTATATATTTAAAATAACTATGTGTGTGTGTGTGTGTGTGTGTGTATATATACATTTCAGTTTCTTTTTTTATCTGAAGAAATTATATTATTGGATAAGGTTCACTTGGATACTATTCACAGAGAGAAAGTTTACAGCCAATAAACATCATTCAATATAGGTTTATTAGAATTTATAATAACCAATTTTTTTTTTGCTACTGCTCTAAATCATGCAAATAAACGCAGTAGAATTTCATTAAATATTAGGTGTACAAATTAGTTCGGTCCGATTTTTGTGTTCAAAAATGCATTTATTTCAAAACAAAATGAACAGATTAATTAAAGTACTGTCCATCGCTGGCTACTACTTTTTCCCATCTCCCAGGCAATTTTCGAATTCCATCTTGAAAAAATGACTCGTCTTTGGAGGCGATCATCTTTTGGAAAACGGACCGAACTAATTTGTACTCCTAATCAGAAAATTACCTTTCACATAAAAAATTTATTTGTATATATGTTTAAATCTATGTTTAATGACGTTTAAAGTGTTAATAACATTAAAACATTTTTTAATTCTGATAAAACTTAAATGAAATGTAAATTTTTTGTATATAAATTTAAATTTGTATACATTTAATAAATATTTACATAAATTGAATATTTACATTAAATAACAAAAATATCAATGCTTTAACTGATAAAAAAGCATATAATACACATAAGCTATATAATTTTCCACAACCTACACAATGTGCATGTAAAAAAACTAATGTGCATAATAAAAATCACATGACAAAAATAACTTATTTACATTAAATATAAATTATGTAGATATAAATTAATTATTACATACCTGGTATGTGTTGTCAAAACTGTCATACATAAACCGTGTAATAAGAGATGTTTTCCCAACTGCAATAAAAAAATTACAAGGCGCATTTATTCAAATAACTTACGCCCTAAATTTTTTTCAAACTAAACTTTATTTAATTTTTTAAACTTGGAGAATAATCTCTTTCGTTAAATTTATATTGCTATTTCTTTCTTGCAAAATAAAAAAATAATAATTTATGAAAATTAAACTAATAAAATTAACATTGAAATTTTTGTTATAATAAATTTTCTCAGCTCCATTGTTATAATAAAACAAAACATTCTAAAGACCCGCTTTGTCATGCAATTAAGGACGTATCAGGTGCCTAGTTTTTACAACTGAAATTATCAATTTATATTTTTCATATAAAAATAAACGTTATATATATTTAAAACAGTTCAATAGAGTTAATATTTTAATAATACAATTGTATAATCTAAATAAAAAATTTCTCATTTTATATTTAAATTATTTAAAAATATTGGTATACATTTACTTCTTATTAAAATAATTTTTTATTTAGATTCTAAATCGTTGTCAAACATTTAGTTTTACTTTTAAATACACGATATAGAAAAATCTTTAATTTTTTCATTTCATTAAAAAATACATGTACTACATCCTTAATGCTGAAGGCGGCCATCGGGATGCTAATCGGCAAAAAACGCAGGGCACAGACACCACGTTGCACATTTTAAATTGTTTTAAATGCTTAAACGCGCGGTCAGAACAAGTGCAGTTAATACGGCGACACGGTGGCGCGGTGGGGAATATTGATCCATAACCTAGAAGGGTACTAGGCGACGTCAGGAAGGGTCGTCACCCCGGTCGGACCCGGAGCTCGCGATAACGCTTCCCTCGGCCGGGAAAATCAATCCATTCTTTTTTTTTTTCGCAGAATATCGATGCACTTATTGACACACCATCGGAACACTCACCGCTTTGCTCGCCCAGAAAGACAAGCTTGAACTTCCGCAATGGATTACCGAAATCGCCCGAGGACGACATGTTTTCTTTCGTCGCGCCTGAACGGGTTCTCGGCAGGCCTAAAACCGGCGATCTCGATGCTAAAGGTACTCGATAATGCGCTCAATGGCCGCCACGACGAGTCATTTAAGCGATCAGCTGCACCGGCTGATTAAAGTCTTCGCTAGCTCTCTCTCGGGCTATCCAGGGCCGACAGCTTGACAGCTCGCGACGCTCGCTTAAATGCCACTCCTTGCTGCGAGTCGGCCACGTTTAACTTCGGAAGTGACGTCGTGACTGAGAAACGGTATCGCAAAGAACGCCATAGATGGCACCACCGGTTTCCGAGAAGAGCGAGCTCTCACGACTCTCACTGTATTCTCATGGATGCGCAATAAACAACCAATCAGAAATTAGTTCTCGATTCTAGAAAGAGAGAGCAAGCGAGCGAGAGAGATGAGTTACTAGTGATATCAATCTACTACTAGAGTGTTTTAATTTCACAATGTATCTTCTTGAAGATCAGTTTCTATAATTGCTTTCCACAAACCCCCCCCCCCTATCATATTTAAATTACATAATTTGCATTTGTACTTTAAAACATGTTTATTTTAAATTATGTTAATATAAAACTAAGATTTCCTATATCAAATCAATACAGTATAATGGAATGAAAACAATTTACATACACTATATTCTAAGAATCTCTAAGAAATTAAATCTTGTATAAAATTTATATAAATAAACGTACTATAATACATCTTCGAATAAAAAAATTTTGAGAACGGCTTCTAGCCGCAATAATAATTTTTATTTTTTTACACATATATACACGCCATACACATGAACCCGCATGTATTTGGTACAAGAAGCACATACAGCCATTATGTACACATCACAGAGATTTCCATGCACCATTAGATTATTCCTGGTTAAATATTCATGTGATTATTATGCTATATTAACAAAATATGTATAGATAAGTACATTCTGCGCTCTTCTTACCGCGCTGACTCCATACTAGCCAAATAGAAAATTTCCTTTTTTAAATTATTCCTGATGTGGTCGATTGTTATTTCTGTAGGGATCTTCTATGACGAGAGAGTGACAGATCAAATCGTAGCCAGTTCTGTTGAACCTGAAGAAAAACAGGGAAAAACAAATCGGAAATATGAACGCCAGCACAAAATTCTTCACCATTGATCGGCCCAATGCTAATGGTAGACCCAAATCAGTCCCAGGGCTCACCAGGACCACGTCCTGCTCATTCGGACGTTCAACGGGAGTTATACTTCGACATTGAACTACCCGCAAACCCATCATGTACTTGCCAGGAGTAGCTCCTCCGATAAGACCGTACACCCCATGTTGAAGCCAGAAGGCCTGAAATTTCATGCAAAAGTTACTTTTTGCATCTGATTTATCTGTAAAAGGACTAACTTTTTAGTAGGTATTAATGAAACTTTTTTACCTCAAAGATACAAACAATCACGCGATGAATTATTTCCAAAATCAGAATTCCATAAGTCATCTCCAGAGCCATTTTATAATCAATACGTAAATTTGCTTGCAACAAATCTAAATCTTCAATGTCTCTAAAACATTAGACGAGAGATGTTAGAAATTTTTTTTTTTAAATTTGTTAAATAGAATGAAAATAATTTGCTATTAAAATAAATGTAGCAATTCTTACATACATTACTCGTATGTTTAACAAGCATTACAAGGTAATACAAGCGCATCTATAATTATTTTTATGTTTATGTTTAAAACCTTTGTAGATATTTTAAATTATTATTACGTATAATATATACACACACATGTTTTTCTACCTACATAAAATCGAAGACGTCGATTGCGATGAAAGTAATGGAAAACTTTAAAAGAAATAACATTGTTGAATCTATAAATTCTGCTGCAAACCTCTTCCAAATCGGGGGAATCCGATATTCATAACCTGAATCAATAAATTTAAGAAAGATGTAAATCAATGATATTTAATATGTAACAATTTCACAATTTTCTAAGATTTATTCTAACCATCAGTTCCTGGAGGTTGGAAAGGTCCTGTAGGTTGTTCCTGAAGCCTTCTGTGATTTATTGTTTCATTCTGTCTATCTACATTGCCAGTTATCACTCCTCGTGTATTCAATGGTGTTGGTATTTGATTTGATTGAAATGGTGCTGAAGCTGCAGAAATTGTACATTGTTTAAATTTCAATTCATTTCTAATACTAAAATTACCTATGTCTCAACATTTGTTTAAAACTTTTTTTTATTGGGTAAATTATAATATTTAATTTATATAAAACAATTAAAAGTATAACATCTTAAAATGTTTATTAAATATACTCATATTACATATAAATCCACACAATATCTTTATATTATATTTATTATATATGTATATACCATATATACAAATTTATATTTTTATGTAAGTATAAATATAATTAAAAACTTTCTGTTCCCAAAATATAAACATTTATTGAACTTCAAAATGTCAAGAATAAATACTTGCGTAAATTCTTTCGTACCAAGTATCGAATTCGAAACGGATTGTCCTGACATCATGTAATAGGGAAACATCGCGGCGACACTTTGCCAAGCGTATGCCTCCTGGAGCCATTCTTCCAACTTTTTGAAGTATCGCGATCTTTCCTCCGCAGGATTCGATTTACTTTCGGAATTCCGCCCCGGCGTATCATCGTTTTTGTTGTCTGCCATTTTGATTTGCTTTCGTAAGAAAATTAATTAGATCGTCTCTCAATAAAGTTGTGAAAGCTGTCAATGTTGCTTATCACTCCAAAAGTATCCCCTCCGTTTAACACAATAACAAAATAGTAACAATTGTCATCAAATAGCGCGATTAACTTTTATTAGGATCAATTGAGAAACACAATATGCGTTGACAGAAGATAAACAAACGCACCAATAATATTGTTTTATTATAAACAATTGTAACTACACTCGATCGCAATCAAACACTAATATGCTCGTATATGCGTAAACGCGCACTATTAACTATAACTAACGTTGCCTATTACTGACGTGTATCATATCAAATGGATACAATGTAAAGCTTTTCGCCGTGATCACGACAGTTCAGTAAATGTTTGTCGCGACAACTTTTTCCCCAGACTTGAATCATGGAGAGAACTCTAGATGTCTAAATGCGCACTTCTGCTGCAAGAATATTATTAATAAAATCTTTCTAGAAATACTTTCTTTTGCCAAATGAAAGATCTTAAAAATAATTTTCCATCGTATATAATATTTTGGTTATTTATAAAATAATAAGATTTACTCAAAAAAATGTTTGAAAAATTTTCGATTAAATATTACCAACTGCTGATAAAAATAAACTAGTAACAAGTTGATTAGGGTGCGGTCCACTTGGCGCTACAAATGCTTCGAAACTTTTGATTGACCAATCGGAAGAAAGAATCCTATTAATTGACCAATCAAAAAATGCTTCGAAGCATTTGTCGCAAATTAAACGAAAAATATTTCGTTTAAAAAGGTTTGAAATTTATTTGTAAAACTTGGGAAAAAATTTTTTCGTGATATTTTATCGTCATTTTGTTGCACTAATGTACAGTTGTTAAAATACAGATTTGTTTAAAACGATCTCAAATTGATATCACGAGGCTGACTTGTCCAAAATAATGGTTCAGAATTTGTCCCGTCCAATTATTATTCCGTCAAAGTTAACATTTAGCGTAAGTGTTGTCCTTAATTTTTTTTTTTACTAATTGAAAATACAAAATTTATATATTCTAATTTAAATCAGAAAAATTTGTACATTCACACACATATTAAATTCTTTAACTCATTAGTTAATGAGTTAAATGTAAAAAATAATGTTTAATTAAAATGTATGGAATAATTTTAAAAAAGTACAACATAAGATGATCTAAATTACTTAGGTATTTAGGTTTCACACGCTTATAGAGATGACATGAATCAAAGTAGATAATTTAATTGTTTTATTTAACTTGCATTTTTGTACAATTTTCTATAATTCTCTCTCGCCCCAATTTAAACGTGTTCATTTAATTTTATTTAAATTCAAGTGCTTCAAGTAAGAAATATAAATAAAGAACAAATATTCTGCTAGTGACTTTCTTTTCAACTTGAACATGTTGAAATTATTTGTCCAACAGTACAGATAAAAGTAGAGTGAAACAAATAATAAAATTATCGATCAGACTAATTCATTCTTCCAATTGTTTTCATCGTCGAAATATTTAAATTCTTTTAAACTCCGGACAAACCCACCAGCTTGAAGTGAAATTGGGAGGAAATAGGGACTTTCCTCTAAATCGGAGCGAGCTCAGAAGGCACTGGCACTCTGGTTGTGCGACGTGCTCGCAGCTCCGGTTCAGTAATCACGGTGGATCGCGATATGCGTTTCCGACTGATGAGTAGTCAGTCGGACCACCAGCAGTCGTTATCTTTGTGCGCGAGGCTATCGCAATAAGAATATCTCAGGACGGTGGTGACCGTCGTCGTGCTGCACGCACGAGTGCTGGGGGTGAGTCGCCGGGGTGGTCGCGTGGGAGCGTCGCGCCGTCGCGACGCGTCGCGCCGTGGCGACAGTGACAGCTCCGGTGGAGCACCTGAAGAGAGGGTGTGGACACGGACGATCCCGTCTCACAACGGGACCTTAGGTAAGATCGAACAGGACGATCGCGACGTGACGGGGACATTCGCCGGAAAAGCGGACATTCTCACGCGGTCTCCGGACGAAATCCTAGAACTCTCTCCTCAATTCTACTTCCATGCGACCGTTATTATTCATCATCGTCTCGCGATCGTATACAATTTCTCATCTTCGCGGAAATGTTCGTTTTCGGCCGTACGTGCCGTATACCTATATTAACGCAAGCGTGTTATAAAGATCCGAGTACCGTCTACACTACAACTTTTTATTGCTCTGAAAAAGAATCTCGTTCGAACGCGATTCTACGCACGAGAAAAGAAACAAGAACGGATCGTCTCCGCTCCTCCTTCTTGAGTCACTTCAAACGGAACGTCAGCCAGCTGGAATTCCGGAAATTCCAACAACTCCGAGAAACTGCAGTTACTTGTACACCAAGTGCGTCGCTCGTAAACAGACTTAACCCTAAAACACTTTTCCTTCTTTCATACTTGTTTACAATGTCTCTAATACGTATGTCTAAAAACATGTGAAGAAGACATCGAATTTTTGTTTGCTTTAAATTTACTGTTTGGAAATATTTTAAAAAATCTAATTTTTGAAAAATGTGTTCTTTTAAAAGGTTAAAATATCTGGATATATAAGCATTTTGTTAATCGAAACGTAGGTGCAGGTAATACGGCGCGCTTTGAAGTACATTAAGAGAAAAATGTACTAAATTTTAGTTAAATAATTGTTTAAATAATATCAACATAATATTTATGTACACAGAGAATAAAGTTATTTTAATAAAATAAGCTTTGTTAAATAAAAAATAAAATTGATTTGAAAAAATTTATATTCGCTATAAATACTTTTCATTCGTTTGTCGGTTTGGAAAAAATCGCGATTGTGCAAAAAAGTACTGAGAAGGAACTCTTTCTGTCATCATAACAATAAATCCCGAAGATATCATTAATTATCGCTGAAGAGCTCACCTGCTTTCCTTGCTCCTCACACTTTTATCCTAGTGTTTTAATTATGTAACATTAATTATCTTAACACTCGTAATTTACGTTCTCTTTATATAACAATCCGCATCAGTAATAATAAATTGAACGTTCAATTGCAGGTATTTAACAGTAAGAATTTCGTTACACATAGAAATTCTTTTAATTTAATTTATATTTATCATTTAATTTAAATTTTTCGCTTCATTAATTATTCACACTAGTAACATTCATTTATTGATTCGTCTTTAGAGACTTTTGGCAAATTAAATAACGATGTTTAATTATATAACAATGTGAATTACGATACATATAACGTGTTTCATCACGTATAATTCGATTATACTATCTTTATTACTATCGTTATGAATTTTATTCTCATTGCAATATCGTAATTATTACAAAATAGTATTTTATTTATGGCATAAATTTTTGTAGCTCGACATACAGTCGCCCGAAAATACTCATTTATAAAAGCCGTTGACGCGAGCGATGCGACGCGATTATCGATGCGAATATATTCTCTCTTCCTCTGAAAGAGTATGATAACTGAGGGGAGCCAGGATGTATGTACGTTTACCCCGTTGTCGGGCGAGACATCATCAATGTTGCATCCACAATCGTGTGGTTTCTGACCCGATGTATCGAAAATCGAACGTGCAGGCCACCTCGTCTATCGCGTCAATCGATATTCCCGCCCGCCTTTCAACGTCCTTTTCCATGCGACGTTAATTGCACACCGATAGAAGATGCATCAACGCATTCTTCTTTCCAGAAGCCACGCGACTCGACCGCCAGTGCACGAAACGTATAGACGTCCATAAAAAGAACCCGAGCTGACATTGACAAATACGTCGTGATAAGCTTCCTTCTTTTTCGAAGAACCACAAAGAACGTAATAGATGCACTTCTAAGAATTTAACTTCTTGCCTTTCATCCTCTCGGACAACTTGAACGTATCTCTTTTCTTTTTTACCTCGCTAGGGAAGTAAACGATGTCAGATAAATGATTGATAGAAATCAAACATCATTATGCATCGTTAAATTTGATACATACAACGTTACATTGAGAATCTAAGAAATACAAAGGTAACTTTTTTTTAAAATTATTTTATAGAGAAAACATGAAGGTTACGTCGTATATCATTATCATGAGGTGATCATCATTACGTAAGCTATTATGTAAAAGTTAGATCATTACTATATATGCTACAAACGAAGTAACAAAATTACGAAATTGTGTTACATTTTGCCAATTTATTAAATTGTTATTCCCATAATTCATCATTTTTACAATATATTTTTATGTTTTTTATTTCTATGTTTAATATTTATTATGCTTTATAAAGTGACAAAAAGGTTTGTATGACAAAGTTTTGTATGTTTGTCAAACCCAAGTAGGAAGTAAAATTTATAGAAAGTAAATGTTATTTATGATGTTAAAATAATATTAAAGACGGCATTTTTATGTCAAAGTAACACACATTAAATATATCATTTTAATATTAAAATAATGACAAATAATGTCAGCTTGTTGCGTGCATGTGTAATAAAATATTTAAAAAAAAAACAAACTCTGGAGTGTTATAGTTATATTTTATTAAATATCAAAGGTTCTGTGCGAAAAAATTTTTATCGGTTCGTGAATTGAAGGCTTACTATTGACTGCCTAAAACAATTTATCCGGAGAAGTGCGCAGCAGCCATCGTTAATGCGTTCCTGAAGCAGCTTAAGGCTTGTATCAAAGCTAAATATGGTCATTTATAATATTAACGCTAAACGACCCGGTCAAATGACTATGGTTGTAACTTTTGATTAGAAAATTCGCATAATATGTTATCGCTTTTTCACATTTCACTTCATGATTTTTTCTATTAAATATACACAACTAGTTTTACATCATTTATTTATATTTTTATTTGTTAAATCTGATAAACACGTGTGTAGCCTAGCGTTATTTATCACGACAGGTCATTTGACCGGTTACAGTACACAAATAGGTATATATTAAATCTCGGTACGTTTAGTGTTAATAATTTTTAATGAGGTATTTAATAAGATATAACTAACAATTTTTTTTGTAAATATACATTAATAATGACTTGAGGAACATGAATTTTGTGATTAAACTTTTTTGTCACCCTGTATATTTCTCTCTCTTTAATTTATAAACTTTTATTATACTTTAAACTTTTAATTTACTAGTCCTGTAATTCTGCATGTTTACGTGTATATTTATCACGTAGATATAGTTTTTTCGAAGAAATTGTCATATCTTATATTTCTTTAAAAGATAGAGGATGCGATGGCATATTTTGTAATGGTGACGAATGCATCTTGTATGCAAGAACCAAATATGAATCGCGCTTTTCTTTTTGTCGGCTCATTATCACGAGTGGCATCGCAGTATCCTTGATGTTATCGATGATCGATAGGCGGATTGCCGAAGA